CATCGGTCCGGCCTAGCAGCCAGGCAGGTCCAAGGTTCAGGTATTTCTTTGACGAAAAATTAGCACTGAACCCTTACAGTGCGGGGGTAGCCCCTCTGCAAGGATTACATTTTCTTCCACCCAGAGTTCTTCTTTAACCACTTGCCGTCCGGAGCAATTTCTTACTATTTGCGCACGCATGATAAAATCTGAATTCTTGGCTAGAAAACAGCTTCAGACCCCCAAACAATGTTATTATATGTTCTGAAAGCAGAGGCCCTGTAGAATAACAATGCTAGGTGCAATTTTTTGTGTCGCACGGTATTTGCGCAAATGTTTATCAAACAAGTATTTTTAGGATAAAATACACTAAAATGAAATTTAGTGCAGAGGCAGAATATAATGCCCAATTTCTTTGGTAAAATATCAAAAACGAGGTCAAGTCGGGTAAATAGATACCAAACATGTCAAGCAGTAAAATTGCGTACGCCCACGAAACCGCAAAAAAAAAAAAATACAATAACCAAAATCTCCCATAGGCGACGCTTTAAACGCTTTTAGCGCTCAGTTTAGTGTTATCAGTGATTGATGGCCCGAGAATTATTGCTCTCATTCCGACGCTACGCAATGTGTACAACAGCAAAAAGCTTCCCAGCACACTCACCAGCTAGCATGTAAAAAAAACTTGTCTACCACCAAGGTTAAAAACAGAGGTTTAGATACACGTCTTCTGCAGAAAATGTGAAAGCCGCACAGCCGTGCCAAGGCACCTGTATATAGTGCGGTCCTAACTATGAGTCTCCATCTTGGAGCACATGTAGCAATTATTTGGTTGACTGATTTGGTGCAGTGACACATTGGGGGTCTCAGCTGCCGTTGTGATGTGCGGGGGCCCTTGGGTGTCCCTGTGCCTTTAAGGAGGTTGGGCTTCCTCCTGACAAACCTGCACCCAATTTTATCTTTTGCTGCATGTGCTCCAAGATGGAGACTCTCATAGGTTAGAGTTAGGACTGCACTATACAGAGGGTCCTTGGCGCGGCTGTCACATTTTCTGCAGAAGACGTGTACCTAAACCTCTGTTTTTAACCTTAGCGGTGAGACAGGTTTTTTTTGCATGCTGGCTGGCGAGTGTGCTGGGAAACGTTTTGCTGTTGTACTGTATAAAGCCCTTCCATGTGCACCTTGCTGTAAAGCTGGTGATAAGTTGATGAGTGTGTTTACCATTTGTTTTGCTTGATAAGTAATGTGTGGCGCAATTTTTGTTTTTGCACGTAGGCGCATGCAACGTGTGTTTGCGTTGTATGAGCATTTTGTTACTTTAATTTCTACCATGGTTTTTTTTTTTTTTTACACTCAACTTTATTACCATCACATGGGGTGCCAACAAGCCCTCTATGTAATAGCAAATATGTGGCAGGTCCTCTTTATGGGGACATCGGAGGTCTTTGAGACCTCTGTCACGTAGGGACCCCAAAGAAGCTGATGAAGCAGTGATCTGCTTCACCAGCTTCTTCTTCTGGCTCTAGGAGCCGGAGACTGTGCCCAGTGACACCGGAAGTGATGTAATGCACCTCACTTCTGGGTCCAGTGATCGGAGGAGAGATCCGCGGCTGGAAGCTGCTGTCTACTCCGATCCATCAGGGGAGACCCACCACGCCGGCCCCGGGCTCGCACAGGGGATAACGGACCCCGGGAAGCTACCGGCGGCGTGGGGGACGACAAGCTGCGCCGTACAAGCCTGTACAGATGCCGGATCGCTTGTATTTAAACGGCAATCGTTTGCTGTTTAAAACGGTACCAAGAACCGCTGCAGCCGTGTTCTTGGTATAACCGCTTCCAGCGGATGACGTGTATTTACATGAACCGGCTGGAAGTGCTTAAAGCTTAGTTCCAGCCTAACCTACAGACTTGCACAGGTAACCCTGAATGTGTGTGTATACATGTGAACAGTAGCGTTGCCTGCAATTGTTTTGGACACAGTTGTACCTTGACCTTGGAGTTCAGCTCGTACCTCTTAGGAAGTTTTCCCTGGCTCTTTGTCTACCATTGGCACTCTCCTTCTGTTCAATCTGGGGTCAATTTTCCTTTTGCGGCCATTGGCTACACTCCCATGGACTTGATTATATTTGCAACTGTAGTCACAGGAACATCAAGCTGCTTGGAGACGGTCCTATAACCTTCACCTTTATCACGCCGGTCTATCATTTTCTTTCTGATCTCCCCAGAAAGTTCTCCCCAGCAGAATGTTGACTTTCCTCAAATTTAAAAAGGCTGATTGATTAGAAGATTGAAGACATGCGAGATCCTAATGGCAGAAAACAGAAAATCACTACGATCCAATCATTTATATTCTTCTCTAGGGGCACCAACAAACCTGTCCAGGACATTTTAGAATATCTTTGTACAACATGCAATATTTGTTATTCAATAATGTATCTCTATTCACACTTTCTTTACTTCACTCTATGACACACCAAAGGCATGCAAGTACACGAGACAACTGATGCCATCACTTTTCCAGAGGAACGAAGCATTGCTTCAATGAGCTGTAAGGGTACCAACAAATTTGTCCATGACTGGACCTATTCTACTTCTTTTACTTATAGCCAAGCGTCTAACTTACACCCATCAGAATCTTGATTGCTCTTATTTTTCTGCTGGCTCTTAAACTTCCTCTACACCTCATTGCTTCACACACATCTATAGTAGAGAAGCGCTGCGTCCAGCTAATGTTTCCCAAACTTGTGCTCCCAAACACACAAAAAACAAACCACCTTAGACTTAGAGATTGTTCCATTGACTGTAAAGTGAACGGTCAGCTTAATAAGTGAGGCATGCTATCATCAAGGATCAAAGGTCACAGTTAAAGCCGACCTTTACCTTTGTCTGGTGTAAAATGCTGTGATTGTGAAATACTGACACTTGCAGAACATTCACTTCCTGCTTTGAAAGGGCAAAATGACTTCAGTTTGGCAAAGCAATGCACACTGGGATTGCCTTGTCATCAGCAGAGCATTGCCGGGAAATCTCATCTGTAATCTCACGAGATCTCAGGGAAAGGCATTTTCCTCTCCTGAGATGATGTGCATGGTCACATGTCCTAGTCACATGGGCCAGAGATCCAGGAAGTAATAGGAGAGCTAGTAATCTGCACTTCGTAAACATGGCCACTAGCAGAAGACTGGGGAAGAAAAGAGAAATAAGGAATGCAAAGAATACAAAGCTGGCAATTATCTAGAAGTATGTTTCTGTAGATTGTCATCACTCAGGCTGTGTTCACACCTAGGCGTATCGAATATGCGCGTTTCGTGCCGCGCGTTTTTAACGCGATTCGCGGTAAAAAAAACTAGGGCTGCAACAACTAATCGACATAATCGATTATAATCGATTATTGAGCACGACAAACGAGTGTTTCCTAGGGCTAATTGGCTGTATCCCAATGGAAACGCGCGACAAAAACGCCGCAAAGAAGCTCATGTACCTTTTCAGTTTTGTAGCACGTTCAGACGGGCTGAAATACGGAAAGGTGTGAACCATACCCATAGAAAACAATGGGATTTTCATGTTTGAGCGTTTTGTAGAGCGTTGAACGCGCTACAAAAAACAGAAAGGTGTGAACCAGGCCTAAACATTTCTAAAGGTTTTTGTTATTTTCAAGATTTTGCATTGCATTTTTTTTGGTTACAACTTTATTGCATTATCACAAGTGACATTTCATTCAGTTCTATGGGCATAGCAGGGTGCGTGGCAGTTGTACCATGTCACATCCCACTGCATAGAAAAAAAAAGTAAGACATGGCTTACTTCTTTTATTGCACACCACCGCGTTCCTACCGCAATGCTGTGGTGTAAATGCACACCATCCGTGACAAGGCAAATTGCCATGTCTTGCGTTGGGGCTGTGCTGGAAACAACGGCCAGCACAGCTCCAATGCAGATGGTGGAAATCAGCCCTTACTGTTGCCACTGCGTCTGACTACCATGACCAAGCAAAACAAATGACAAACGAACTCATCAATTCGTTACAGTACAATAGCAGAATGTTTCCCAGCACACTCACCAGCCAGCATGCAAACAAACTCGTCTCACTGCTAATATCAAAAACAGAGGTTTGAATACACGTCTTCTGCAGAAAATGTGAAAGCCGCACAGCCGCGCCAAGGCACCTCTATATAGTGCGGTCCTAACTCTAAACTATGAGAGTCTCCATCTTGGAGCGCATATGGCAAAAGATCAAATTGGGTGCAGGTTTGTCAGGAGTACTGACTGCCATGACCACTCACATTAACCACTATGCTTGCCACCACCCTAACTAGGGATGCACCGATACTAGCTGGCTACACTATGGAGCCGGCTTCCCGGGCCAATCAGGAAGCCAGGTGGCGGGTAATGACCTACCTCTCGGCTTCCTGATTGACTGGGAAGCCAGTTCCATGCTGATTAGCTGGAAAGTCGGCTTCCTGGCCAATCAGCATCGAACCGGCTTTCCAGGCAATCAAGAAGCTGGGTGGCGGTTAATGACACACAACCTGGCTTTTTGATTGCCCGGAAGGCAGGCGTCATGCTTGCGGAAGTACCGGTACTCGGTATTGGCGATTACCGAAAGATACATATTGGTACCCGTACTCGATACTAAAAATCCGGTATCGGTGCATCCCTAACCCTATCTTCCCTTGCCCGTTCTTGATACAATTGGACTGAGCTCCATTGAAACCTTGACAATAAAATGCTAAAGCTTTGACTTGTTTCCACTGCAAGACCCATGTGCCTCTTTAGCTACATTGGATTGCTATGGATCTTATTGTGGATGAGCACCCGGGCTTTACCCTACAAATAGAGTGCGGTCGGTGGCTACCCCCGGAACTCTACATCGAGCCCCAATCACACAACACTGACCTTATTATTTTACATTCATATTTATTATACACCAATAATCAGCAGGCAACGAAAACCTCGAAGTTTAAAAAGACAAACCAACGCTGCCAACCACGAACGTTCGTTACGGAATTAATGAATCTTCCACTTCTGTAAAAATAATAATAAAAAAAGAACCAAAGAAAACATGTACAGCTAATAAAACCGCGACACCGAATGGAAAGTATCACTTGACTGCAGCCCATCTGTTTATGAGCCGATGAAACGAAAGGGACTCCGGACGTCACAAAATAAAAATATATCATCTTCTCTGCTTTATTCATTTCAGGGACAGTCTTTAAACCAGATCCGTCTGATCGCTTTACCGCAAATAAAAAGGGTTTAGGCTTTTATGAGGTACTCAAGCACGGCTCCCCACACGAGACGGAACGCTCTTCGGGGCGCAGCGGGACACACTGTAGCGGCGGGATGTGGTTCAGGTCTTCACCGATCGCAGGGAGCGGGAGCTGGACATGCAAACAATGGCCGACGTCTGGCTGAGCCTCACATGCTCCTAGTATTTGGGCACAGGGCCTTCCTTCTCCAGAAGAAGTTCTGCAAATCTCTGCTGAAGTTCCCTTTCTCTCTCCTCTTGCCGCTGAACGTCTTCTTTCAGGAACTACAAAAAGATGAAACATTTTACATTGAATTCAGATATAAGAACGTCCATTGTACCCACCCTGCAACACTTTAATAAAGTAGATGAAAACCTAATCATCCAAATCTCGTACAAGTTCCATCATGTTAATGTCATTTCATAAGTCATTGTCACCATTTCTAAATCTGCCGCTTTAAAAAAAATTATCCCTGGTGATCCTGCCGCAAAACGTCTTTGTTCAGCCGCTTCCTGATGCAGGGTGACAACGCTCTGTACCTGTCTCCAAATTGTGCTCCTGTGTTGTCACACTGTCACATGGCCTTCCCACACATTACACAGGCATGGTTCACGGTCGTCACCATTAGGAAACCCACCATAAGAATTATTATGCAGCCGTTGGTGGGGTGCATGGAGATACAAAGAGGCTGCAGGAGATCAGCAGCACGGAGATGCAACCAAGGATTAAACATTGATGCATTTTGAGGCAAGCTGACTTTCTGACACGTCAGAGGTTTTGACACTTGCTCCCTGCAATCAAAACAATGTTTTTGGCCTGGACTTCCAATATAAAGCAGAACTCATTATTGGATCATGATTGTTAACACCTCCTTATGGAAGGATCAAAGAGGAGCAGTGTTTTATCCTGGTTCAGTAATAATGGTAATGCTGTACCTGATCATTTCCATGGAGGAGATCCTCCTGTACCCGATCAAGGCCATGGAGGAGATCCTCCTGTACCTGATCAATGCCATGGAGGAGATCCTCCTGGACCTGATCAATGCCATGGAGGAGATCCCACTGTACCCGATCAAGGCCATGGAGGAGATCCTCCTGTACCTGATCAATGCCATGGAGGAGATCCTCCTGTACCTGATCAATGCCATGGAGGAGATCCCACTGTACCCGATCAAGGCCATGGAGGAGATCCTCCTGTACCCGATCAAGGCCATGGAGGAGATCCTCCTGTACC